ATGGCAAGGAAATAACTATAGAACTGTGGTTATTCCTAGAGAGAAGGAAAGGAGGTTATTGTGACGGGGTAGATGTTTGTGATAGGAAGTTGGGTGTAAACGTTCTAAGTCTTAACCCAAGTGATAAGATGCATGGTTTTCTTTAGGTGTGTCTTCCAGATACTCTTCAGTATGTATAACACAATTGTAACTAAAAAGGAGGACAAGCCCTTCTTCCCTAGCCTCTCCAAGATGGATGAAACCTAAACCCAAAGCAGCTACCCTCGACCAGGAGGAAACTCTTACTGGCAGTGGAGTCACAGAGACAGAAGTAAACTGGAACCTCAAAGACCTGGTTGGCCACATCAGCCAGGAACTGCCTACCCCACATTTTCCTACTTTAACGAAATATAGCCCTATCTTTTTTAAACTTCTATTATTTTAGCTTTTTCTGTTAGATACAAGCACAGTCAAATCAAATCTAATCCTAATGGATACATCCAGTGATTTAAATAAATGAAAAACTCATTAATGCCATCCAACAGCAGAATGAACTCCCTGAGAAAACACTCAGCACTCACTGCTGACAAGGCATTGTGGAAGGGATTCCTACATAGCAAAAAAACTGGACTGCAGGGCTTCTCAAGGTGCTTCTCAAGGTACTTCACAGCGGCAATTAAGATTCTAAGGCTACTACTGGAACGAAGCAGCCCTGGCTTGCTAGAGTGATGGCAACACTTTGCCTCGGAATCTACCCTGCTCCTGACCAACGGGAACACACATTTTCTGTAACAATTCCATTTTATGCACCTCTAAGATTCTGCGCAGTCACTAACTTCTCATTTGCACCTTTTGAAACTAACAACCTCAACTTCAGCAGGCTAGGTATTCCCCACTTCCCTTCCAGCCCTCTTTCCAATTCCACGTATCTGCCCTCTGCGAATTAAACCAACTAGGTTCCCTGATCCTCTGGGTGCCAGCTGGCCAAATGGAAGCTCCAGTAGGAAATAAGAGTAGGAAAAGCATTTGATTCCCTTCCTGCTGGTCACTGGTCACAATGGCTACAATTCAACAAGCTATCTTCCCTTCAGGGAAACTCACAGATTTCCAGATTACACCCTCCCTTTCCCTCCGAGGTCTGAGTGATAGAGGCGCTCTAGCTGCTGGCTCTGGGATGTTTCATCATACCCTGTTGGTTTCCCTCCACCCTGACCAGCCTTGGTAATGGGCCCTTGATATCCTCAATCACACTGTTACAATGTGCCAGATGACGGATTATCCAACACACCACTTTCAGCCTTCTCTCTTCCACCTCCCTAGATGGCTACTATCTCCCCTCACCCCACCTCAGTTCTTTCACTAATTGGGTTCTTTATGTTTACACATACAGACTGACTCACTATAAATCAATTCTCTATGGAAAATTCTTAACCCCAGGCTGATTCTCAATTTTGCCACCTATGTGTACAAACTGTATGTAATGTTAGATTGGGCAAAGCCCAATTAAGAAGGCAAATGTTACTAAAAATTCCTGACACATAGACTGGAAAGCTAAGCCAAATCCTGGGATTTGGACTTTATTTATGACTTCCCTAAAGACCAATTTATTACAGTTCTGCTCTATTTATAAGATTAGAACAACGCCAAATATAATGCTTATCCTACAATGGCCATTTACAAAAGTTCAAATGTCTTCTCTGCCAATCTCCCATGCACTTTCCCCTTCTTCCAGCTAATCCTACAAACAAGACACCAGTGCCAAATGAAAGAAATGAGTGTTTCACAACATCAGTATTTTAGCTTACTGCTTAAAAATCCTGTGAGATCAGAAAAGAAGGCATTGCTGAAAAAGATCTAAAGCTCAGAGATGCAGAAAGATTTGATTTTTGAATCAAAAACCAAAACTAAGTGAAGTTTGCTGTGTTCAAATCAAGAAAAGAGTGCTACTGAAACACTGACAAGGAAAGCACCTCTTAAGAATTTTGCTCTAGTGCAGATCATGCTGCCTGCTATCCAATACATACTCCAAAGCAGTAGAGCTTGATCCATGAGCAAAACGACCCTAAGTAACTGGTGTAAGAGACCCATTAAGCTATAGGAAAAGATTCATTTCCTTACCCACAGGAAAGAACAAACTATATATTTATCTATGTGCAGGAATCTCGGACTAGGGTTTCCCAATCTCAGTACTACTGACACTGTAAGACCGATCATTCTGGGCTGCAGGGGACTGTACACAGGGTGGGATGTTTGGTTGTAGCCCTGACCTCTACTGCAGGATGTCTGGTTGCATTCCTGACCTCTAACCAGTAGCACTCCTCACATATGCTAACTGAAAGTGTTTGCAGAGATTGCCCAAGTCTCCGAGGAGCAAAACTGCTCCCAGTAGCAAACCACTGCCCTAGATAAACAATGATCCCTCAAACCCCACCCAGCACTATGGGGCCTCCCACACTAACCTTGATTCGCCTATGAATACCAACTAGCATCCATGGGGTAGGAAAGAGAAAAGCCACTTGAGGAGTTGACTTGGATTTTTAAAAACTACAAATACTTGGCAGTTTGCAGATTAGACCTCCTGCTGAGAAGAATATGGATAGAAATACTTTTGCCAAAGTAGAAAAAGGCTGCTCCCCAACTACCTCATTTGAACTCGAGCATCACAGCTCTCAGCAAATAAACATACTCACTCCTTTATTCTCCTTGAGACACAGATGGAAAGTATCACAGTGGCAACGTATCACATACAAGCAAATGGAAAAGGCCAGGCAAACTACCCTAATCAAATGAGTGCAAAAATTGAGATGAGGAACACAATGCCCAAGTTCCTAAGCTCCTTGGTCTGGATTCAATATAGACTCCAGGACTCCTTGTGGTTTTTCTCATACCTCGCTGTAAGCCCTTATAATAAATATTTTCTAATGCCCCTTTGCTATTTTGAAATGAAATTTAAAGAATATAACATTATACCTATAGGCAAAATTGTAAATTTCACTATAAAGCCCTTTAAAGGAAAACAAACAAGATTTTATAATAAAGCATGTATTTTCAGGCAAGACTACACAACCAGACAAGGCTTTCTCTCCTCACCCCAGCCGGCATTTTCAAGGTGCCCCTGGAGGCCAGAGTAATTCCTCTCCTATATATACAAATCCTCTCCCATCCCGCACAACGGTCAGCAAGCTCAGCTCCCTATCAGATCATGGCCTAGAGCAGTGTCACAAGAGGGACAGAAGAGACAGATCGGAAGTCAGATCACCTGAGGTAAGACTGGGTTCCACCACTTCATTGTTGTGGTAGCTGACCTAGGTCTAACTTTTCATTTATTAAAGGAAAATGCCAGCAAGTTTTTGAAAAGGTTTTTGCAAAAATTAAGTGAGCATGTGGAACATCCACTTCTGTACCCAACATGTAATACATGCTCAATAAACATTAAGCATTCACAAGGCCCTCAGTTCAATACCCAACACTGCAAAAATAAACAGATAACTCTCAAGGAAGGGACAACAGCTTCTCCAGTGAAAGAACTTCATGCAAGCTGTATGTTGTCTTCAGAAAATGGTGACTGTTGAGGGGCACCCATATCTATGCCTTTTTAACGGGACCTTCATAGCAACAAGCAAACCAAACCCCTTAACATTCTAGATTATGAGGTGAGATCAAAGATACAGCAAAAGCAAGAAAAATATTTCAAAGCAAAACTGATCCCAAAGTTAATATGGTGAATAAATTCAGTAAATGTTCAAACTGTTAAAGTCTAGAGGCCCCAGAAGCAATAAGCACAATTTTATACATAGAGAAAGAAATACAGGATCTATAACTTACATAAACACACAAATCTAGAAGAGGAAAACCAGAAACTGCCAGTTAAGCCATTTTACATTAACTCTCCATGATGCTAATAGGGGTTATCTCTGGGAGATGGAATTATTGTAAGGAGGTGGGTGGGTCAAAGGGGAGATATGTTTCCTTTTGTTTATTGACAAAAATAATAATAATAAAGATTCTAAATTACATATGGCTATTACCTACTGGAAATCTGTGAAATACTGGGAAAGAATCTATTCTTTCTATTCTAAGTGAACTTGTCGTTAGGCTCTATGGATAAAGCAAGTTTTCCTCTGCCTCTGACACACAACCTAAAGTCATCTTTGCCCCATCCCATACACCAAACTAAAAAGAATCACAATTTACTCTCCCTCTTCTTTATGTCTCCTGCAGACCTTTCAGGTTTTGCCACTATAGGAAGTCAGCCCTGGTATAAGAAGGCATCATTACTACTTTTTACCAACTTCTTGGTAACAACACCCACCTCTTTGGGATAGTGAGATGAAGACAGATAATGTTCTTATTGAATATTATACAAGGAGCTGTAAGACTCAGAGAAGTGACTTACTAAACAAAATCTAAACCTAAATATTTGTTCTATATCTTTATTTAAAAGCTATGGACTTCCCATAATTTTCACACTAAAGAGTCTACACAGAATCTAAAATGTCACTAAGTAACTGGCAATGCTATTCTCCCTACTTGGTGGGGAAAAAAAAACACATAAAGACACTGGGAAGAGAGAAAACAGCAGCCCCCCCAAACTAGGAAACAAAAGCACTTAAATTCGGACTGGTTCAACAAGCTCTTTTCAAGCACTTACGACAGTCAGGGCACCATGGTAGGTATTTACTTCTAAACAAGGCATGATATCTGCCTCACTGGGAATCATACCTCTCGAAGACAAGTACTTATACACTAATGTATGTCAGGCCGTGGTAAAATGTAACACTAAAATTTTATAACTTGTCTGATGGTGTGAAAAGTAAGAGATGCAAAGCACCTGCAAGAATTTCGAAAAGGATTCTTGAAAAAAGTTTAAGTTCTATATACTTAATTTAGGCACGTGTGCATCCTGATCATCACCCCACACACACCCCCAAAAAAGGTGGCAGAATTGCTCCTCTAACCAAAGCGAGCATCAGAGATGAAATCGCCAGAGAGATCCTTTGGATGTCTGGGAAAGAACTCACCAACGTCAGAAGGTCGGTACTAGGCATCGTTCTCTTTCGACGTTCTCCCGGTTCCCCTTTTTCTTCAGGGTCTGTAAAAGGAAAACAGGTTTTTTACTTAAAAGGTTTTGTCCCGATGGTCCGCCTAGATTCGCCAAAGCAGCCAAGACAGGGTGCGCCCCCTTCTTTGGAAGACTCAGATTTCACTCCCAGAAACTGTATCTCACTCCACTCCAAACCAGAACATCGCACTCCTGCAACTGGTTTCCCTCCCACGGCGGACTGGCCGGGATCCACACACAAGTAGAGGAGACGCCTGGGGCCCCCGGCTGGCGCCCCCGAGCCCGAGGTCCCCCGGGGTTGAACGCCGGGCCATTGAATAGGATGCATCCTCCCCCGGCTCCGTCCTGGGACCAGGGAGCCAGGCACACTCCTACCGCGCCGAGCGCCCGGGACTCAGCCCACTCTGTCACCGGGCCTCGCCGC